AAAACATTTTAAAATATTAACATTTTAGACTGTTAATTTTCAAGCTCTTGTGCATTTTTATTAAACAGACAGAGCCCCAGGTTGCAGCCAGGGTAGGTAGGTATGTTGGTGGGAATGGCGGCCTTGTATCTAAAAGCCCACTTGAGTTTAAATAATAGCCCATGGTGGTGTTGGTAAGTACATAAACTGAAAGGTCAGTATGTGACCAATGCCGAAAGAATAATGATTCCCAATAAGGTAAATGAAAATCAACCTGACAGTTCTATAAATTTGGTTAAGTCCCTGATACTACAAGATGTTTGTCACAAAGATGTTTCATCTTCCCCAACCTAAAGAAGGGCACTAACACATAAGATGGAGCACGATCTGCTCCTTATCTTATGAGCTATAGTCTCAACAAAAGTCATTATAGAGTAGATAGCATTAGCTCCAACATGCTTAAGTATTTTTGTCTAATTGTTAGTTTAACTGTAGCAAGTTTAACTACTATATTTGAGAATTAAATGCCAGGGGAAAGAGCACCTGGCTTGGCAAACTCATCTGCCTGCAGTTGCCCCAGATGTTACTATCTCCCGAAACTCATATGAGTTGAACCCTGACTTGCCTAGTTAAGTCATTGAGGAAAAGTCGTTAATTTTGAGTAATAATTGAGGTGGCTGAAGTGCTTATCTGTGATTTAGTAGCAGCTTGGCTATTCGAGAAAATTAAGATAAAATCTTCAAGGATTTGATTGTCAAGAATTCATTGTACTGCGTAATAGATTGCCATTACCTTAACCGAAAACCTTAGCTGAAACCTGATTTCTTAGAATATATGCCACAGCCGACTCATCTATTTTGGAGTCGTCAGTCTAAATATCTATCGTGTTAAGAGAGACCATTTTGTCAAAGTTCCAGTCTTTCTTGCTGGATATTAGCGAGTCGAATCCCCGGTTGAGGTCTTGACTAGAGCTCATGCAATCAATTGAGACAGGGACTGGCAGATTCTGGTTTAGTATGAATGCATGTCCTATGTCAATTCTTGACTTACGAGAAGCTGAGTTAGTAGCCAGTGAATCAACACGAAAGGGACATTTGCCTGTAGGACATTTACGATTTACTTTCATTTGATTAAGGTTTCATATATTAACTCGTCAGGTTCAAAGCTTTGCTATAGACACTCGAATTATATATTCTTGATATTTATAATATTTTGTTTTATATATTTAGAATTGATAAAAGTTGATTTTATTTATATTTAAATTTATATGATATTAAATAATGAAGTCATTATTTATGCTATAGCTATATGTTGTTTAAAAGAGCTTTTAAGTTGAAATTTCTTTTTTTTTTTGATTAATTTTCCTACTTAGCAACTTAATTTTAAAACTAATTTTTTTTTTGTTGAAAACGCAAATTTAATAAAAATCTAATAACTCAACTAGAAACATTTTGTTCAACCAACCAACAAAAATTTTAATTTATTTTTTTTTTTTGCTTTGTACACAAACGCAATTAACACTGAACAAGATTACAGCAACGCATTTACTTGCAGCAAATTGTTGCATACAAAATTCTAAAAAAAATTATTAATTTTTATTTAAAAATTTACTGTAAAATTAACTCCAAACTGACATTGAACAACACAAAATTAATTTAAAAAATTTCTAAAATTCTTTTTTTTTTTTAAATTTTTAAAAAAAAATTAATTAAATTAATAATTAAATTTTTATCAATATTTATCAAACAAAAAGAAAATATGTATTCAATCATTTCAGTTTAAAATAAAAATATATATATAATAATTGCATTTCATAAATTAAAAATAATTTTATTTAATTTGAAACCAAACTTAAATAAAACTAAAATAAAAAGAAACATTAAATAATATTAAATAAATGAAAAATAATTCGGTTTTATATACAGGGTGATAAGGGGACAAATCAGATTAAAAACGTTTACATACTGAAACTATGAAAGCGTATTTACTCATAAATTTTATAGAATTTTTCAAAAGCAATTTATACTTTGGCATGTTAAAAATGACTTTACAAATATTTTTTTATATATATGGTATATATAAAATCGATTTTATAATGTAAAAGCGGGGTAAGGATTCAATCGGAATGATATGACAATTTATATATATTAACATTATTTTTTTATTGACTTCTTTTATAAGAGCAAAAACTGTTAAAAATATTTTTTTTTCAAGCAAAGTAATTTCAATTATTAATTTTTAATTATTAAAATTATTATTTTTAATTATCAATTATTAAGTTTTAAGTTTATTAGATATATATATGTTTTTTGAAGCTTATGAGAGAGAGCTTAACAGATTACGTTTCTTGTCTTATGACAATGCAGGTGATACTATTAATTAGCATGACAATAAACCAATTTATGTATGAAGCGTGATTCTAGTAATTAAGAAATTAATTTCATATTATCATAACTAATAATTTGGGATCGATGACACACCCATCTTGGTAAACAACGAGAAACACCTCACTTTACTAATGAAAAAATGTTTATCGATCTCTTAATAATATGGTTCAAAAATAAATATGTCTATAATAAAAGTTATGATAGTTAACAAACATAGAAGTATCCAAGTAAACACAAAGACAGTGATATGCAACGATGTAGTAGATATTTATAATCTAGAAAAGAATTAGTGGAATATATCATATCGCATATATATATCACACGTTTCAAATAACCTAAAAAATATTCGAGCTCTTCAACTCACTGCAATAAATGAAAAGAGCTTTAATTCTTCTAATTAATAAATTATTATTTATTTTTTTGATTTCACATTATAGTGATGATTTCAAATCATGATAGTTAATAGACAAAAAGGATTGTCTATGTTAATAGACATAGCATAACAACCATTCGAATGTAGAGACTTTGGATGGTACACTACATTGTAGTAAATATTTTTAATTACTTGACGTTCCGTAACCCTTAACATTTGTAATGTAATGAAAGCTATATGACTTTTATATTTGACGTTTAATGTACTCAATGAACAGAATTCAATACACCAAATTTCTATTTGCGGATAGCTGTTCAATAAGGTAGCAGCCAAACCATTACAGAAATGCTTGGTAACAAATATTAAATAAAGGATAATGCACGAGTATGACAGTGGATCTAAAGACAAAACTCAAATATTGACAAATTAAGCATAGACGATTAGAAAAGTGATGTATTAGGTGTTCTCTTGTTAAGGCATAACCGGTTATTAGCTATAACAGCTTGTCTAAATGATTTATTGGGTACCATATTACTACTAGATAATCAAAAAATAATTTTGAGAGAGGCATTTCATTTTAGAATGGCTAATCAGATTTATATACATATTTGTGAACTGGTTGAATTTTTAAGAGTTGAAATTAAAATGCTTGCAGCATTTGCCATATAGTCCAGATATTAGACTATAAAAAAAATTATAATAATTAATATTATAAGGGGATTCCAAAAAGCTTATAATTCAATTTTTTAAATATTAATATTTGGAATTCCTTTATATAGAATATAAAGTAATACATAAAAAATGACAGAATAGGATGTAGGGTATATCTTCTGTCGTCCTCATCTCCTAGAGGAGAATAGGACCATAGGGTATATACGAATTGTATAATTCAAACTTAGTTATTATGCTAATATCAGGTATACATTTGTGCTTAATGATCCATAGTGTTATCATATAAAACTCAGAGAGTTGGAAACCTTTAATGTGGCCTAAAAAGTAAGTTTATTATTAAGATTAGTTTAGGTTAGAATGATCATAGTAGATATAGATTTTGGCCATATAAAAGTCAGGTGTTTTAAGGGAAGCTACTAGATATATATTTTGGGCCAATGCTTGTGTTACCATGTAAAACTCGGAGGGCACAAATACTTTAGTAAAGCAAGTTTTTTGGGGGTTTGGTCAGGTAACTACGGTAATATTGGGTTTGTTTACGGACCGATTGTGTTATTACATATATAAGGCGCAGAGAACTTAAAACCAATAATGAAGACCAAGAATGATTATGTATTGAAAAGTAAAAAGTAAGTCCTTTCCAGATAAGGGTAGGTTAGTATGTTGTTACTAGGTATCATTTTCGAGTAATAGACTCACTGTATTACCATATTAGACTTAGATGACCTTATACTTTTGATGAAGCCTAAGAATCATTATGTACCACAAAGCAAGTTTGCCGATATTAGGTTAGCTTTTTACAGTAGTACTGGATGTTCTTTTCGTAATAATCGATTATTGTGTTGCTTTATAATAGTCAGAGGGCTTAAAACCATTTTGAAGCCTTGGAAACAATCGGTGTGATAAAGTAAGTTTTTGAAAGTATGTAGTACCGATACGTATCTATTAAGCTCTCTCGTAAAAGTTTTTTAAAAAAAATTTTTGGCTTTTGTATTTTTTTACGAATTTTTATCATCCATGAATTCACCCTGTATATTTGCAAATATTTAGTTTTTTTTTTTTATATGTAGAATATAATTCAACAAAAAGCATTTATTATTTTGAGATCAACATACAAAATTTTCCAATCCAAAACAATTTTATAATAACAGCTCAAAATGAATATTAGCAAATTTAAAATTTTAGAGCGCTTTTAAATAATTTTTAATGATTTAACTATTAAACATCAATTCTTCTTAAAAATATTTCAAATGAAAGCAAATTTTTAATTTAAAGCATTTTTTCAAAAATTATCTAAAAACTTTCGTATTTAACTCAAGAACAAGAGAAAAAATTAAATTTTTTTTTTGTCAATTTGCATATCTTGTGTAATTATTTTTTGCTCTTTTTTTGGATTTTTTATTTTCACAAGGACTATTGCCAAGGATAGGAGAAGGCGATAAGTAGCATTTACATGGCAGAGAATGGATATATCATTTTATTAAAATTTTTTTTTTTTTTTTGGAGGGATTGGGAATATTAAGCGATTGTTTTGTTTTTTTTTTTCTTTTGAGGTTGTGCAAAACAGTATGGAAATATAATGAACTCACCATCGTGTAGCGGATCTATAGTGTGTATCATAAGCTGCAATAGGCCATGACGGAATTTTGCACCGGTCTGTGTACTACCAGCGGTTCCACCACTGCTATTACCTGTGGTACCAGCGCCGCTACTTGATCCTGGCGGTCCCGAACGTGTCTCTGATGCAGCACGTGATGTTACTGATCCACCCGGCTGTGTTGCCATTGAGGTTTCGGATGAATTGGCGGCGTTGCCCTTTTTTGGAGATTGTTTGGAGTTGGGTTTCATATTGATGTGCATGTTTATTGTTGTTGTTGTTGTTTGTTGTTATTGTTGGATTTGTTGTTAATATTGACGTTGTTGTGTTTGTTTTTATTGTTGTTGTAGTTGTTGTTGTTGTTGTTGTTATAGTTGAATTTCAATATTATTTTGATTTGAGTTTTTGAATTTGAATTTGTTTTTTTTTTTTAAAGACGTTTGAAATTTTCATTTAAAAAAAGAGACAGAAAGAGAAAAAAAGGGGCGAAAGAGAAGAGTTGAGTTATAAATTAAGTAATGTTTTAGTTTGTTATTGTTGTGCTAATTATCTAATGTATTCAATAATATTATAGTTTATACATAAAATTTTAACAAATATGTGCAGCTTATTAATAAATTTAGACCCTTTTAATATTTTTATTAAAAGGTAAAAAGTTTCTTAAAGGAGAATATGACACACTTTTTATTAGATTCAAGGTAATATCCTACTAACTGAAGGAAATATTTTACATTTCAAACTCACAAATTATATATTAATTATCATTAATTTTTGCAATATATTGTAAATTAAATTTTCAATAAATTCAGTTATTTTCATTATTAATATTTAATATGTTATATGTCTTATTTTTAATAATATATGAATTATCTTTATTATCTCTATTATTATCTTTATTATATATATATTATCTTTATATTATCTTCGCTATGGCAGCACTATATGCCAAAATATTTTTTTGCAATTATGTTGTCTCTATATTTTTATATATTTATACATAATTATAATTTTAATGTAAGCGCATTTATTTTTTAATTATAAGATACACAAATAAAATGTTTTAAATTATATTTCTGAAATAATTATTTAAAGACACAATTTAGTGTGTTTTAAAGAATATTTTTTATTTCATTTTATTAATATCTTAATAATGTTTTTTTCTATACATACGAATATATTATAAATAAGTTATTTTTATTTCTATATACTATTTTTTAAATATTTTATAGTGAGAACTACCTATATTGAAAGAATCTCCATTTTATCAAAAAAAAAAATAAAAATAAAAAACAAAAACATTTTGACCTAATTTGTTTTATTTTTAATATTCAGGTTTTTATTTTGTTATATTTATTTATTTAATTTATAAATTTGATTATAAATTATAATTTATATTTATTTTATTTATTTTTAAATAATTAAATATGTTATATATATTATTTTTTATTTCAATTTTTATTTTATTTTATTTTATTTATATATATATAAATTAAATATATTGAATATATATATATTGAATATATGTACGTAAATTAAATACATTATTTTTTATTTATTTTTTTTTTCTCAAATATTTTTATTATATATGTATATATATATAAGAAAAAATAAAATAAAAAAATAATGTCCATGATATATTTTTATATATATATTTTCATTATTTATATGTAATATATCAAATATATTATTTTCTAAATTCAATTTCTTTTTTGTTTTCCACTTTGTAGGTAAAAACAAAATTAAAACATATAAACTAAACTATATTTGTATAAGATATGTAGTTTTGTATTTTTAATGCGGATTTTGGTAACTGAGCCCACTGGCAATATGTTAATATATCTGGCAGTAGTGTTGGAGATTGTCTTCAATTAAGAAGTGGTGGTGTTCGTATGTTTGTCTATAGTATTATATATTGTATAATATTACATAGTATTGTTTTATACAATATTTGAAGTATAATTATTTTTTATAAAGTTTTTTTTTTTTACTTTCAAATTATTATATGTTATTGATGCAATAACTGAACACGTCTCTGGATTCTTTTATTCTTAATACTTTTTTATTATTACAGTTTTATTAATTGTTATTAATAGTTACTATATTACTTGTAGAAGTTATATAGCTAAAAGTTTTTATTCTTTAAATATTTAAATTTTGTAATTTTATAAATTTTCCTTAATTAATTTCGCTGTCCAACTTTTCTTATGACCACATAATATTAAATAAGATCTTTTTCCTCCGTAAATAATTTTAATCAAATGATAAGTTATTTTTTATTTTATTTTATTTTTTATTTTTTTGAATGATAAGATATTTTTTTTAATTAATAATATGAGTTTATTTATTTTATTAATGGCTGTTCGTTTATAAAAAAAGTTATTATTATTAAAATATAATTTCTGACGCCTACGATTATGCAATTAAATTTAATTTAAAACTCTTAGTTATATTTTCTAGTCCATAGCGCATTAAAATAGTTATGTTTCTAAAAGAGGTGAAAACGTTTTTATATAGCAAAATGATACATGCATTATTGTTGTTATAATGGAAATATAATGATATATGTTACCGCAACTGATTTTAAAAATTTTATTATGTCACCGGTAATAATTAACAAAATAAATAATATTGTTGATAAATAATAAGTCTTATTATGTGGGACTTAATTTTTATGAGTTTGAATTTTTTTACAATTGTTTTATTTTGACCGACAGGATGCCTAAATGAATCTAATGTGGTACAGCGATAATTCCTTCTTTAATAAAGGAGCCAGTGTAGCCGTTTATGGGCTAGTGTTAAAATACTGGGAAGCGGTAAGTAAAAATATTATTATCCTTAGAAATGATCAAGATACAAAAACTTACGCGATATATATCTGTATTTATTTAATTTTGAATGTAAGTATTCGATCCATAGAATAGCAAAGTAGTACTACAGGTACTCAAGTTGTATAGAACAAGACCTGTGAGAATTTTGAAAAACTGAATGAGCTTCTTAGTAAATAATAATATTAAAATAAAACAAAATATAATAAAAAACAATAATAAAATAAACACGTGGATAAACACGATTAGTTATCGCTTCTAATTTGACAGGCACGAGTTCTAAGCCTGGCACTTGCAGTCCTAACAAATTATATACGGACTATAAACTAATTAAATAAAATTCGATTATTTCCAAAGACCACTGATGAAGAGTACTTGGCAATACTCGAAACAGCGTTGTATGGTCAGTCAAATTTCAATAAATTAAATAAAAAAATTTTTGTCTTTGCATTTCTTTGATATTCGAATCGGTCTAACTTTTAAATAGTTTCTTTCGTCATAAAAAGACGCCATTATCGGCAAGAAAAAATTTACCTTAAAATAATTAATGTTATAGCTTGAGTGTCACATTGGAGTCTTTAGTTATGAAATTTCAGCAGAACTTGGCAAGAAATTAATAACTTGGCTACTTGTAGGACCGTAGCCATTCTGTGGCTTAGAAAAGCTTGATTTCTTTTCATATAGTCATAAAGGGCTATGAAATAAAACACGGTAAGGTAGATTTAATACTATGATTTATCAAGGAAAGCGACCTAATACGAATGCTTTGAAACTATGAACGTAGCTTCATAGATTTCTACATCGCATTTTAAAAGTCTGCAGTTTAATAATTATAGAAATAATATATTTTCATAAATAAATTAATTATAAATTTAAATAAGTAATATATTTTTCTTTGTTTTATTGTGATATATCTTATTATTATAAAGTTGAGAATTATTTTTATATATTTTATTATTGCAGGCTTTTGAAAAGGAGTTATACAATATTTAATTCTTAGCTTTATAAGTTCTATATATATTCTTTTAATTATAAATATTATTTTTAATAAGTATTTTTTTTACATGTATTTACACAAATTTTGGACTTTGATGTTACTTCTTCTGGTTATTAAAAACATAAACATAATAAGGATTATGGTTTTCGTATAATTTATTTTTTTTTTTCTGTGTAGCTGCACTCTTGGGATGATGGGAGAACCTGACGTGTCAAGTGGGTCGTATGTGTTGGTTCCCAATCATTGGAATTTGACTAAAATGCATATCTATGTAATAAGCAATTCATAGGTCATAATAATTCTGGATGATATATATGAGTGACGGTCTTAAAAGGAGGTGCACAAGACTGACGATATTCGAAACAGCTTTTTAAAATAGTACTATCCTAAAAATTTCGAATAATTATTAATTATTATTAATTATTATTAATTATTTTTCATAGATTCATTTTACGGAAATATTATAAGTGTATTGTGAGGTGCAGGATTAATTAATATTTTAAGCAATAACACCTTCCGAAATATGTCAATTACTACTAAACTTTAATAATAAATTCAACAGAAATAAAAAATAAAACTTTTCGATACACAAGTGCATTGTTTTAATTATTTATAAAATATTCGTGAAATTAACTCTAAAACGTGAGAAACTAGAGATATGTTCACTTAAAAATTAGTCTCCATGGATTTCGAGTGTTTTCTCAAAATTAAATTTAAAATTTTTTTTTTCCAGATAGGATACTTTTTGTTTATAAAGAGGAGCTAATTAAGAAAAATCTTAGCCAAAACCGTAGTGATGGAGTCAAAAGCCGTTTCGTTTGCAATAGAGCGATCCAATATATATTTTAGTGCCGGGTAAGTGCCGAACTGCGAGAACTGTGACCTACACCTAAAAAAATTTTATTTCAAGATGGTCCGCAAGAATCAGTTCGCATATTTTTCTATAAAGTATCACTTTGTAGTATGGCAGTTATGTTAGACCGTTAGATAAGATGGACTTATCAGTCCATATAGTTTTTTTTGTTTTTTCTGATTATAGGCAAATATGTAGTCTTACAAATACTTAGGTCTGCTGTTTTGAAGTATTCTGCACTTAAATCCAGTTTATATGAAAGTAAACTCAATATACCCACATCTATAGCAGTTCGTATAATAATTTTATGAAGGTCAATTGGTGTCAGTTGATGTTTTTACTAGAAGGTTCGATATTAGTGATGATCTTAATTTTTTATATATTTTATTATATCAGCACGATTTGTTATTTTTAGATCTGTTTAAATCACGTCTATAAATTAGTCCTGTTATATATATAATATTTTATATAGGGACCCATATGTGTTTTAAAATAGTATTTTGGTCTATAAAATATTTAACTAAACATTAATACAGACAAATAAGCGGCTATTTTTTAAGATTTGTATAAACAAGTACTTGAATTCACTTGACTAAAAGTATATTTTTGGTTATAAAAATTTTCTATCACCCTTAAAAAATGTATCATATTTAATTAGTACAATTTTGCACTATTTGTCCATGGAAGAAAGTGCTCTGGCCGTAAAGGTGTCTGATTCGGCACACGCAAGTGAAAAACGCGGTAAAGGACGTTTGCATCTTCGTTGGAAGAATCAGATGAACAACGATTTGTAGCGCGCTTGGTACTACCAACTAGCAACAACAAGACATTAATCGGACTGACTACTCGATGCAGCCCTGGAGGACTTATGGCTGTAAGGGTCAACTAAGTAAGTAAGTAAGTATTTGTCTATATACTACAATTAACTTGATTCTATATTGAATTTTTGTATTCATTTTTATTCTCTTTTCATTTCAATTCATTTAACAATAAAAAATCATTTTATGAACTAAAAGAAATTCTAACTAATAACTCGTTTTTATGCAAAGATGTATCTTTTGTTATTGTACATAAAATTTTTAATTAATTTATATAACTGCAAATTTTTGACTTATAACAATCACAATATTTTTTCCGTACTCTGTCTTTTGGTATATTTTTGGAATATTTTGAACTCATGAAAAAAGTTCAATGCAGTAGTGTATCTTATATTACGAGTAGGTATAGTACGTAAACGTACAACAGACAATATACATTATACACATATGTATATGGAAAATAAAAACAAACTAAAATCACAAGTTTAAATTTTTGGTTTTCTGATATAAAACCAAAATAAAAAAAGAAAAAGGAATTACTTTTTCCCAAACCCTCTGGGTGCTTTCAACCTTTTAACTTTATGCATAAGAGCACAAAAAATATTTTTATCTTAACTCAATATATTTTTCAATCTTTTTAAGTTAACGTAAGTAAAAAAGAAATGCCGATAAAAATAAAACAACAAAATGTAAGAAACAAAAGAAACAAAGAGAAAAAAAAAGAATTAATCCCCAACGTATACCCTTCTGAAATATTTTAGGAAAAATTTTAATATGACATTCCACAGACATTAAGCTTAGCTACTCTACTCTTTTAAGTGTCAAACTTAAAAATTACTCTTGACATATAATCCATATCCTTTTTTAACTTATTTTTCCAATTTTATATATTTTATATTCTTGATTTTGATTTCTCTTACTTTTCTTCCACTTCAAATGCAAATTTTTCACTCAGTAAAAGTCTCGGAACATATATATTTTGATTACATATGCCACATGCGATTAGCAGTCGAAGTTATGTCAATTTTTGTTAATAATTAAATTGTATGCACTTGGGAGCGGATTTATTGCTTTTTAGAAAATATTTGATTTGATACTATTTTTATTAACATCCTTTGTATGCGACATATATAAGCTATGTCCCTGGCACTAAAGTTATTTATATTGGCTTTAATTAAAATAAAACAATTTTTAGTGAACATTCTTTGGGGAGTCATTTCATATTAATTAACTAAACTCCTCTACGGCAGCATTCGACAAATTAAACTTGTATAATTTATATACTTTAGTATAAGCAATTAATTTCAATTTTAAGCCCAAAGTTGCAATTGCAATTATACCCAAAGTTTTGCAAGAACATCAGAACATCAACTACGATGCAGACACCCTTTCGAAAAATGCTGGTGCACATGTCGTATGAGTGATTTATTTTGCAAATTTTGATAACAAGTGGGAAGAGAATTTTATATGCATAATGTGAATGGATTAAATTGATTGCACTAATCGAAGAACCTAAAGCACTAAGTTAAGCAAGAAATATGTTTTAAAGTAAGCTTCGTCATTGAATTAAATTTTTAAACAAAATGCACTAATTAAGTTAGCTTAACCAAAATTTGCTCTACGCAGTTGGTGTATGATTTAAACATTGATTTCAACGTAGTATTAAGCGAACCTTCAGGATATAATCAATAAATACAGTTACTAAATCAAATTATTGAATATAATATACATCAATTATTGATGTAAATATTTTAAAAATAAATTTCATTTTATTATTGCATATCTTTGAGAAAGAAAACGCTTTTTCCATCGAAATTAATATCGCGTATACAAAAATCATAAACCTATTAAACTTTCCATGTATACGAGTTTTTTTCTTGCAATAAATTTATTACGAGTATTACGAGATGCACGAGTACGTTTACAAATTGGTGACCCGGAGCTTATAATGAAAAACAGGTTAAATACGCCTTTCGCTATACTATATAGCATAGATTATAGCATAGAATTTTAAAGTACCCTATTAACTACAGCTGTCAATATTATTAGCTTACCGCAAATACATTTTGTGATTTTTACCACGAATAATCTATAAAACTAAAGACTTTACATGGAATTTTATGTCCTATATAGGGGCCTATAAGGGATCCACTTAGGCCTGTAGCCCATTAAGTTACCGTATTATTAAAAAATAGTCTTAATTTAGAACATTTGGCAAAGCCTATGATGCTATTCAGAGGGAGGTTCTGAAGTTCACCAAGTTCCTCAAAAAAGAAATCCGCTAAAATATTAAGACGCCGCCAAACATGTGCCGAACAGAAGCAAAGTAGATGGGAGGCATTTTTATCGTTCTAACGTGGTCACCTAAAATACAATGACCCGTAAGTAAACCTACTGTAAGACTGAGATGCTCTCTCATCGGTGCATCTCGATGAGAAATACAGAAAATCTTGGTATGAGTAAATTGTTTATTTTTTATAGATCTACAACTTTCAGGAAGTCAGTTTTTATATAAAATTAAATATGTATATATAAGTAATCAAAAATGAATTTTATGGAAAAAATCGTTATTTTCCAATCTTTGGGGCTTTTGGGGCACCTTTTCCACTTATCCAATTGAACTAAAATTTTATACAGATTATTTTTTTAGTAAAATGAACCGATCTGGGGGATACCGTCAACCGATTTTTCGAAAAAACTATTGCCCATATACCTTAATGGCATCCTAATATACATCTATTAAACAAACTCGAATTATAATTCTCATTATGTTTAACTGCATTGATAATATATAATCACCATATGTTACTGTAATACCTTGATTTGTTTTAATATAACATTGCGATTTTGAAGATAGGTAGAAAGCATATAATTTGTGTTTGCGCTAATATTATGACTTAAAATTAATGTAAAAAAAAAATATAGGTATATAAATTTTACCAATTTTATAAATTTTATAAATTTCAAAAATGAGGCGGTCAACAAACAATAAATTTTTTAGTGTCTTTTACTTCACGTAATAACTCCTAAATGTAACTAAAAATTGTACCCAAAAACTCGTTCGTTCAAATGGCATCCTCAAATATGAATTAATGCACTTTTTCAAGATTTTTGACAACAGCTGTAATTTCTGACCGCCCCCCTAGTTTAGTCGTCACTAAATAAATGAAAACAAAAATGATTGAAGTCGTAACCCCATTATTATACTGTTGATGGACATTGTATCTTTTCCTTTAATCTGCAGTGGTGGTCAGCTAATCGGAGAAATATTTAAAATAATTGTTAACTATTCGAACGCTCCATATATTTACAAGATGCGTCCCAAAATAATCAGGTCTTTTAGATATAAAAACGAACAATTTCCTTACAAATATTCTTGATTCTAATCACAATGATTATGTTCACTTTAACTTAATGGAGCGACTTGCATTGTCTGAAATTCTGTAGAATGAGTATTCAGGACCGGCAGTCGAGATGTTTTTACTGTTGGTAAAGGTCTTTGAGATGGCCTCTAAGTGTATACAGATATTTCAAGGTTGTTAGTTATTATCTGTAGTATTTTTGGAAAAATTACTTTTGAAAAACAAGTGCTTAATATTTCGTCTTGCTTTTTGCATTTTCTGAAGGTCGAGTAAATGAGAGAGCCTGATTTTTCGACCGATTGGTAGATTGGTAAGTGACTTATCACAACTGTTACGAGTTTTTCCATTGCAATACTACTTAAAAGGATTACCGTTCTTAATAAATACCAATTTCACCATACAAAACTGAAGCAGATATTTATCCTAGCCATCTTTTAAAGTCCTATGGTCCAATCAATCAGTATAATTAGCTTTATAGATTTCGAGACCTTAGAATTTTTTACAGACTATACTGTCTTTCATTAAAAATTGGTTTATATATGCATTTGAATATTCTACACGATGTTCGGTATTATATCACTGATTATTGTCTGATTACTTTACCCATGACTATATTTGCATATATTAAATAGTGGAATTATACATTGATTTACTAGTCACGCACAGAAAATTTTCACACTCTTGAACTACTATCGATTATAGATTCTAGTAGGTCGCTGAGAGTGAGGCTATTATGCTACCGATGGTTACATGGTTATCTCCGACTTTTGTAGTTTTGTTTGTGAAATCAGGTTGCCAACTTCTTATCAATTGAAGATATAATTATTTCGGATGCCGATTCGGAATTATGTATGCTTCTAACAATATATTTAAAATGGCATTGCCAGATTAACATGAGAAGTATGTCATGATAAAAATGTTTCAATGAAGTCAAATTATATGTTTTTGTTGAAAAATTTAAACTGAAAAAAGTTAAGTAGAACATGTCAATAATATCAGAAAGTTTTAAGTAGTTATATTTCTTAGTAAAGGCGGCCGTATGTCTCGTTCAGATTATTACAATTTTTGAAACAGCATGGACTTACGAAGGGTAATATTTGAACTCAAAGTTTTTTTAAAATAATTTTAATATTGATAGTTTAATTGTTTGTAGTTTTCACAAGGAGGAGGAGATGTGGACTGCATCAGTTTAGATCAACAATTTATAGTTGATTATTATGTGCTACCCTTCGTTGGAGATATTCGTGCCAGGTATTTGTACCCTGAACTACAGGAAGATATGCAATTAGATTTTGAGGAAGAAGTTCGTATGATTCATGCTCGTTTGCGCGGAATGATGCAAATTCCTGACAGTGCGTTTAGACCGTACCTACCATATCGGATTCCTAGACGTTCCTTTATTCCTTTGGTATTTACTTCAGAGTATAGTCGAACACACCGTTGGATACACTTAAAATTTCAACAACGACTTGACATTCTAGTCAAAAAATGTTACCGAGATAAGTGCATTGAGTTGAGTGACATAATTCAGCGCAGAATGAGGATAACCTATTTAGCTATGACCACTGTGGCCATAGGTTTAGGCTGTGTGATATGGTATGGTTGTACTAAAATCCGAAGTCTAATGTCGTAACCAAAAATTCCAAAAAAGATGGATGTTACGGATGCTAGTATCAATTTTTGTTTGTGAATAACTAGGTATGTCAAAGAATTAGTTTTTTTTTTTTGGGCTTATCACAAGGTTTTGTGTGTATCTGCAAACTTATATTAAAAAATAATTTTATTTCAGAAATTTAAGAAACTAAAAAAACTGCCAATAAAATTCCTTACTGCTTACATAAATCTTTCTGAAGTTTATTATATTCTTTAAGTTCATTGAAGATAACAGCATCATTTTTATTTGACATAGAAAATCCTACCTTTCAGTGGGAAGTTTCGAATTTGAACTTATTAACCATTAACCAATAATTAATCTTAGTAGATTTGTGTTAGTTCATTCAAGTGAGCTATTTGCATGTCCTTATACTTTTGAAATTGATGCAAGCCTTCACAAAAGGTACATTTTTTTAAGAACTGAATAGCAGTCTGATAGGTGTATATCCCACAAAATTTTTTTAGTCCTATGAAGAAGATGCATCATGCATTACAGAACAGATATCATTTATGAACAGATATCTTGACAACTGTTATTTTGGTAGTGCTAATTAAACTAGTTATGAAATTATTGGAGCCGTAGACTCCTTTGAGTTCAATGGTTAGTCTGGTTTTTACCACTTCTTGATGTGTTCCGTACTTAATGTCGTGTATTTCTGTTCAAAAAGTTGTGGGAATGTTACTAACTGAAACGGTTATATTGACGTCAGCTAAAACCACTTGGTTTTTTTTCCCAGTGAGGGGAAGAAAATGCGGCACAACGGAGTTTGTATGCTTTTATTCACTTCTTCTAAGAGTTGCAGTATTGAAGATTGAAAAATTTTTTCTCGACTTTCAAATTTATAATATGTCCTGTTAGTATATTTTTATTATAGGGAAGAATACTAAGTAGTTTTTAAGCATTTTTTTGTTGCTTATCAATATAACTTAATATTGATTAATACTTAATTGTTAAAATACATTGGCAAATATTATGGAACAGAATTTTTTTACAATTGTGATATCTATGTATGGAAACCTCTATGTGTTTGTTTTTGAGTTTAAGTACCTAATTTGTTTGACCCTTGTCTGCTATCAGATATTACTGTATATAGAATAATAGACTACTGTGACTTGGATGAATCACATGAATTAAATTAGTACGGAAGGTTTAACAACCTTGTTGATTGACCTTATCAAGTATTGGTATGTGATAATAGACATTATAGAAATAACATTCAGTATAAGAAAAATTATTTATTTAGAAAATTTTCCCTTTAAGCAAAAAAATTAGAAAATATTATTCCTACGCAATAACTCGGAGATAGCTAGACTTTTCAAAGAAAGATTTGAAATGATGTGATGTGAATGATATGGAAGATTGAATGAATGATACAATTGTCTGTAGTATATCCAAAAGAAAGCATCACGAAACTTTAGTTATAGATGGGAAAAGTATGTGGTTTGGAAAGAACGGGGCCAGAAAACACAATCCACTTAACACATCTTGTTTTGCCCTTGTTTTCAATATTTTTTTAATTTTATGATGTGAATTGTTTAACAAAATATATGGAATTTACCTCCATTGTACTTGTTTGTTAAATTTTATAAAATATCATGCTAATATTAATAATTTCTCAACTTTCTAAGCTTAAAAGCAAAAATGTGAACGATAAAAATATCTTTATTTATCTTTATTATTTATCTTTATTTATTATGTGAAGTTATATTCAATCGTCTTTTAGTTATGCCTAATGGGAAAACATAATTTAAAACATAATTCAAAATAGCAAAACTTATAGCTTTTAATAAATTTTTAGGACTTGTATTTTAGTAGTGTATACAAAGAGAGATAAAGGATAAGATATATATAACAACCCCTTCCCCACTATACAATATTATCTCCAATTTTTGCAAATAATACCACACAATAAAAATATCAAAAATATGTTTTGTAGTATACCCTTGCCTCCACATTGCATTAGCGGTATCCTAGCAACTCCACTTTTAATTCAGTTATTATAACAATAATGATGTGGGAATTGAAATAACTGTAGATAATTAGTTACCTTTATATATTAATTAATATATACTAATTAAAAAATGTTTGTTATTTGATACTGTCTATTTTCGTGAAACGGTTACATGTGTCCCTGTTTATCCCCCTTCTCCTTTAATTTATACGTGACTTAATCCCTTATATTCTTTGTTTTTTATATAAGTAAATTTTTTTTTCCTCTGTTGCATTCTTTTAATAAAATTCAAATATTATAGTTTCTAATATTTCATTAATTAAGATAATTAAGAGTTTTTTATGTTTCTGTATCATGTTTTAAATATTTTCATTGCATATTTGTATGCGCGACATAAATATTTATTCCGGAGTTGTTTTTTTTTTGTGAATCTAATAAATGTCAATAATTCAATTATTTAATTATAAATTATTACCGAAAATTAAGAAGAGAGGCGTTGTCGCGAAAATTAAAAATGTGTAATATTTTTCGAATATTCTTAAATATTATAATATTAAATTATTCATTTTATAATATCATTATTATATAATTGATAAAAATTTCCTTTTATTAATTTTTTCATAGTCATTATTTGCACTAATTTTTTTTTGATATATTTATAATTTTACTTTTCATGTATCCTTACCTTTTTATTGGACCGTTAATCAAGGATATATAAAATTTCTCCAATATTTTGATATATTTATAAATAAAATTATTCGCTTTATTAAATTAGTCGTAATTTTTCTTTCAGAGTAGCAAAAAAATACTCGTAACTTACTACAGAAAACATGTGAAGCAATAACAATGCTCGCAAAATCTTCCGAGTTAGGTTTTACTCGCAAAAATTTTTACGACTTAAGGTTTAGTGCAGCCAAATTTGAAAATCAGCCTATTTCCGGTGAAAATATGTTTCAAAATACCAATCATCCGTTAATATCTTATAAGCATTTCAATTATTAATAAACTCATATATAAAAATAAATGAATTAATTTAAATATATAAGCGAAAATTGCTATTTAAATTAATTAATTTTTAGTGTTTTTATATTTCATAGTGCATTGTGTACAATATAATAAAAAACATATGTCAAGCATTTGAAATATTTTAAAAGTGATGCCAATTCCTTTCAACCACATTTAATGCTGTTTCTTTACAACTCTGAAAGAAAAAATTACGACTTTTATTTAAATATTATTTATTTAATTTATATATATATTATTATTAATATTGTTATTATTACTATTTAATTTATTAAAATTATTTATTGTTTTTTTTAATTTTTTTTTGATGTTTTGATTAAAAGTTTTACTTTTAAGACTAATAATATGAATTATTATTAATTCATATTTTTCTTATTACTATATGCACGTACTTCTATTTTCTATATATAATATTTTTATTATCATTATTTTTATTTGCATATATATTTTTTAAAAATATTCATAATTCAAATTTTCATATATGTTTATCTTTTCATTGGTGCGTAAGTCAAGTATTTATAAAATTTCTTCAATATTTAATATATTAATTTAAATATTTAATTATTTGGTTTAATATATTATTTAAATATTATATATTTATTAAATTTTTTTTAAATTTATTTTAATATTTTGCTTAAAAGTCTTATTTTTAAGAATGTTTTTAATTTTAGCTGATTCATATTTTTTTTATTATTATAGGCACATACTTTAATGTTATTAATATTAATTATTTCGTCAAATCAAACATTTTTATATTTATAATTTATTGAATATTATTATATATACTATTTTAAATATTAAATTATTCGCTTATTTATATTAAAATTGAAATGTTAAGTATTTCAAAATTGTTTTTTATTGCCTTGTTAAAAATTTTTTTTTATTACCATTTTTATTGTTATTTATTTATATTTTTTAGAAACATTTATAATTTCAATTTTTTAATATCTCGCTGAAATGCAACATTTTTTTTTGCAGAATATTGTTGACTTAATGGTATATACCTATTAACATTTATGTTGAAAAAAATATTTTAATAAATAAAATTTAAAAATTTAATTCATAGACAATATAAATATGTTATAAAAAATAGTTACCTTGTTTTTAGAGTGTTCATTGCTTTTCCACAATATTCTCCAATAATTTGATTACAGAATATATTCCATAATTATATATATAAAAAAATATTTTCCTCTTATGTGCACATATTTGTTATAATTTTTTATATAATTATAACCTAGTTTTATATAATTTCTTATATAAATGATTGTTTTGCCAATATTTATACATAAAATAAAAATTTCGCTTATATATAATAAATAAATTTTATGAACAAAAAAAAAATTTATTAAAAAAAAAAATCTTAAAAACTTATATAAAACTTATATAAGAAAGACTTCACTTAAGAAATTAAGTTGGAAAAGAAAAGCTTTTACGAGTACAACAAATACACAAAAGTTCTTTAGGTTAAAGCACATTTGTTTGTTTTAAAATTTCGTGAGTGAACAAATAAAGCTTTCAACACAAAAGTTTGTTGTGGTTGCAAATTTGTTTATTGCCAAAAAGTTTGTTTTTGTTTTTGTTGTTGTTTCTTTTTATTTTTCTTTTTGTTTTTATTTTTATGTTTAATTTTTTTGTTTGCTAACATTTTTTGTTTTTGTTTTTTTGTCTTCATTTTGTTTTTCTTGTTTCTTGTTTTCTTGTTGATTTTGTTTTGTTTTGTTTTTGTTTTGAAGTATACTTTTAGGATTTTGCTTTAAAGAGCTGATGTTTTTTTTTCAGTGTACATAGTTTGAAAAAAAAGCCGCATTGCCAAATAAAAAAGCACAAATGTTCACTTTGTTTGGTTTATAAATAATAATAATAATAAAAAACAAAAAAAATAATTTATTTTACATATAAAAAATATAGAAAAAAAAAATTGAAAAATATATAAAAGTAATAATTGACAAAGTAATATGTTTTTAAGAAAACTTATATAAGGAAATGAAAGTATTTTAAAATATTATTTTAGAATTTTCTTAGAATTTACATAAAATTATAGATACATATGTAAATAAATACTTTATTGGTTTGTTTTTTTTTATCTATTCAAATATTATTGATAAAAATTGTTTTTGTAAAAGCGCAGTGGGAAGTTTTTGTTGTATTTAATTTTCCTTTACTGTAATTTATTGTAAAA